AAGAGATTGTGTCAATTTTATATGTGCACTTGCCTTTGAATAGTTGAGAATCTGTGAACAGTTTTAAAATGTTATTCTATAGACTCAGGTAGTATAAAAATATGCTTATTCTGAGACTGAATAAATCTCAATTTTTATAAGTTATTGCTAAAAATTGAGAATAAAAAGGGAAAATGTACTTTTTGTTAATTAAAATTTATAATATGGATAGTCTCCCGAATCGGTAGTTGTTTCTCAATTAACTGTTATGACAAGTTTGCTTATGCTTTTCATCCTAATAAGTCAGATGTTAGCATAAATTTACACATACATAGATCTTTCCATACGTATAAATGTATGTATTTAGATTTACTATGTAATTTTAGTAAAAAGACAGAATTTTTAAACCTAGTTTCAACATGTTTGTAACTAGGATCTGACTTTCTTCTGGAAATGGTTCAGTTTTCTAGAAAAAGTAGAAATGGCCATATGGAATAACTAAGATTTTAGCTCACAACATCAATACATAGGTTACATAGGTGCATTACCTTTCTTGTCAATAGGCTTTGGATGTAATTTTAGGAATAATATACTACATAAATGGCCAAAATTCTGAAATATGCTAACCTATTAACCCAAGAGAGAAATCACAGGGTAATTTACTCCTCAAATTAAGTTAATTCAAGAAAATCTAAATTATAATAAATTCAAAAGGCTATATAATCCTGTTGTGGTGAATCACTTCTATTAAAAATTAATACTCTTCTAGAAAGCATATTCCCATTTTGTAGATCCTGAAACTTGCAGAGAAGGGGTATAGTTTTTTCAACTCAATATCCTACACACTGCCTTCCAGGATCTTATGTTTCCTTAATTGAAGTTAGAGAACACAATGTTAAATTCTCTAAAGAACAATGGCAAAGACAAAAGAACTTAGAACCCAATAAGAAGAGCAGGTGCTTGGAAAGATTGAGATATGATAATATGCAAGTTGCATGATATAATTCCTATCACACAGTAAGAAGTAAAAAATGACAACTTATATTTTTTTCACCTCAATTTTTGTACAGCTTTGCTGTTATGGATACTTTAGAAATTCCTAAAATTTTAATTTAGGTGATTAAGATGTCTGAAATGAATTAAAGCATAGCTGTTCTTTGATTACAGAACATTAATTTAGTTCTTTAGCATGTTCTCCTACAGTGTAAATAGCACTCAAGTTCTTTCAGTATAGAAAATATCTGTTAGGTATTTGAGATTTATTAATTGCTGTGTCATAGAATTCAAAGCACCATGTAATAAATCTCTTTTAACAGGAAAGTTTATTATATGGATAACTCCATTTAAGTTATTAATTTAAATTAAAATGCTAAACATCTCCAGTGATCCAATTGGTGGAAATATTCAACAGAGATTTGTATTGTACATGATTTATGAGTGTATATACCTACACATGTTAAAACTGCTATAAACTATTAGTGCACTGAGAATTTCTTACTTGTAAAAAGAGTACATATATATATAATTATTAAAAGTAAAATAATAACTTTATGAAAATAACAAAAGAATTACTAACTAGATATTCTTAAGATATATAAATTAAATTATAAAATGTGTGGTTTGGTTGATTCATTTTCAATTAAAGTAAAACAATTTTAAAGAAACAGTTACCTTAGCAAAATCATATTTTATGTTATATCCCAAAATGAAGACAAATAAAGTGTAGAACAAGAAAATAATTTAATTTCTCTAGATGATCGAAGTTGATTGTCAACTTCTGTCAAAGAATTTTACACAAATTAAGTGAATCTAAGGATAAAAACTACAAACATATAAGTAGATTAAAATACTTTTAATTGGTATATGTACTATATTTCAATACAGCTGTTAAGAAAAATACCTGCCACATCTCTTTTCAAAAACCCCAAATTCTGGTGTAACTGATTTATTTCTCCTAAATACTTAATTTTAGTTCTTTATACTATAGGAATCACACACACACACACACACACACACAAGGATACTTTCACAATTTACATTTCTTCTCGATTAATTTTGCCAAAAAATAGCATCAATTCATTTGGATAACTTTTTTTGTATTAGAAAAATGACCTCTCTCTTAACTACTAAGAATCTACAATAATACTATATTCATAAAGTCTGCATTTCTAAAACTTTTATTCATTTACATATTGAACTTCAAACTCTTAACTACCTTTCTGGAGGGACAAAAACAGAGGTCTTTAAAAAAATAGTAAGAAGTACAAATTTCAGACTGGTGGTTCTCCACTACACCTCCCAAATTTTGACACCTCATCCCATGCAGAGGGGAAGACTTATGGAGGAAAAGTAAGTCCTCTTTCCCCCACTCTCAACCCCTGGGACTTACCGGATAAAAGATGTTATTGTTGGGAACATGTAAAAGTGGAACTAGTGTAGAGGCAAAGAAAGATTTGAAAGACACTTTTATCCAATATTCTGGATTGTGGATTAGCAGCACCATGTTTACTCATTCCTTCAGTAATATGTAAAGGAAAAATATCTAGTTTGGTGAATGTGAGAAACACATTTTAATAATTAAATAATAAAGAATGTACATGAACACCTACATGCCCAGGCTCTAAATTTCAAAATTGATTTAAAACTTGCAAAACACAAACCTTTATGGCAGAACTAGAAGTCTGTTCCCACCAGGCCCTCATAACTGATAGCAGCCAATCCGGCTCCTTCAAAACTCTGAAGAATTAACTACATCAAGAGTCATCATTTTTATGCATTTCATACTTAAACAGCAAATGCTATAGATTAAAAAATAAAACTCACAGAAGTCTAAATTAATGTGCCTTTCCCAAGAAATTTAGTATTTTGGCCAGAAAATACTGAGTAACTGGTAATTTACTCTAAATCTCTCTCTTTGACAGTTATGTCACTGAGGATATTATTAGGTCAAATATAAAAGGCAAGTTCAATAATATATACAAATTGATCTCCCTACAATAATTATTTTGTAATTTAAACTCTCTTATCTATAATGTTATATGACAAAGACTTTATTCTACCAATAAGACATTAGAATCCTAGAATAAGACTACATTGGTTACTAAAACTAAATTTATGTTTTAAAAATTACAAATGACTTGGTTTTAGATCACAGAAACTTTCTGTGTGTGAATATAAGAAAATTGTCAAGGTTACGTCCTTACTCTTCACCATCATTAAAAACTTAATAACTTCTCAATCTAATAAAAATGTATTACTTCAGAATACTTCCTGGGTTAATTCTCTTATTTTCAGGATTTTTCAACTAATAGCTTTCAATCTAATTTATCTGGAAAGGATTTTCTCAAATATGTAGAGAGAGGGACAGAGGGGGAAGAAAAGACCAACATTCCATTAGTGACCCAAATTCAAGAACTTTCAATATTTATATATAAAACTTCTGAAATTCAGTTTGATATTGTTTAAAAGGCAATGTTGTTCTTTTCCAAATCCTAATTAACAATTTTTTCAGCTTTTAAAAGGAACTGGATCTACTGTCAACTCATGTTTAAAAGCACAGAAGAAACAGACTTTTAGTTCTATTCAGATTCAACATATCTTTAAAAAACAACCTCAAAAGATACAAAAGAAATCAGTTAGTCAATATCTACCTGTGGACTTAAAGTGAAATATTTCATTAAAAACTCTTTTTTCATATTTCATTGTCTTATATAAATTTTAAACTAGTTTAAACTTTAAATTCCAGAAAAGATATTCAGGGACATTTTAGAACCCAGTGGATATAAAGTGAAACCAGGTCATCTCACCAATTTCATTACTAAAATGTTCACTATTAAATCCACAGTATCTGTTAGAAATGTCTGGCAACACATGAACAGTGAGCAGGGCTGATAAATTTGTCATGTTTAATGTTTTCCGGCCCTCAACTAGGAAAGCAGCAAACTGCACTGTACAGCTAAGGGGAAAGATTGATACACAAGGTTAATGGTATATAAGTTAACACATACAAGAAAAATATCTGAAGTTCTACTATAGTACCAATACCCTCATTTAAATAACAACCTTTCGCTTCACTGTTCTTTTGAAACAAAAAGAATTTACTGAAAATAATGTTCTGATGGACTTTAAGAACCACTTGAAAAGGTGAGAGGTATCATATTAGACAAGAAACCTCTAATGAGTAGGACAGATAAAACTTCAGAGTCTGTAATATTTTTCCTTTTTTTAAACAAACCACACTTAGCAGTCTATAAACCCAACTAAAAGAAAAACACAGTTGGGCAATCTAATTTTTTTAAAGCATTCATATTAATTTATTACTAATCAAGACTTTTTTCTGTTAGCTTGTCTTTTTTTAATTCTAATTTGATCAAAATTTGAACCAGCTTTATATAATTTGATTATATAATTATAAAGTGTATGATTTGAGAGCTGAGTAAAAATAGGTTTGATAAACTTTTAAACACTAATTTCCACATTTTAAATTGACATAAAAATGACTTTCTATAAATATTACATTCAAATCTTCCATTACTTTCAACGGAATTTAAAATAACTATAAAGCCACATGTTTTCAAATGTAGGGAACAGGTTACAGTAATGTGTTACAAACAGAAAAGAGACTTGAGTGCTTGAGTCCTTTTTCAGATTATACAAAATAAAGTATTTTTTCTTTTTTAAAAAGCAAATTAAAAAAGTAATTTTAAAATATAATTTAACAAATGTAATGTTCCCTCCATGGCTTGGTATTTAACCTTATGTGCAGTCAACAAAACTCATTTCCATAATTGAACACAAGGTCCATTCTAGGAGATGGCACTAATAAATGTGCCAATGTGAAATTTTAAAAAATAATAATTATATCAATAAAATTATATTGAAAAATTTTGAAGTACATATTTTAAAACTTCCTAAAAGAAAGCCTCAAATCACACTCTTTTTTATATAAACTTCACCAGCACTGTTCATGTTGGCCAGATTATATCCTAGTTTTCTTTAATAAAGTAAAATGAAATGCATACCAGCAGCAACTACAGCTGGAGGAGGCGAGCCTGCCTCACCACCACTTGTTTGACTCATTGATGCTACAGTTGTTTCTCTGGATGGAGGTAACTGTAACTCCTTTGGGAGAAGATCATAGACAGATTCTGTAGGGGGGGGAGAAAATATTTTGAAAAGAGTGTAAGTCAACCTAATAACTAAGTACAAATATGTCTTTCACACACACATGAGAACTGTATTATTTACATACTAATATTTACATACACATACAAACACACACAACTCCATAAAATTACTGTCGTAAAAAATTACTAGCAAATATTTTTCTTTTATTATATAATATTATTGAACAGAAGAATAATTTTTCCATTAGTTCTACCCCCTGTTTTCTTCTTGGTTTTATCTTTTATGCTAAAGCTGGTCTTGAGAAAAGTTATGAAATTTTAAAGCTGCATAAAACTAGAGAGAATAGGAGGTCAAATAACCCAAGATGTTCCAATATCTCTTTGTATAATAATGAGTGTAACTATCATCTTTCATATATTGAGATAGCCATATTAGATAGTATATTAGTTTTAAGATGCATTCTCCAATTAGACCATTAGTTTAGTGCTGCTCTTTTACATAGCACTTTTTAGCAAATATTTTTTTTAAAATATATTTTATTGATTTTTTACAGAGAGGAAGGGAGAGGGATAGAGAGTTAAAAACATCAATGAGAGAGAAACATCTATCAGCTGCCTCCTGCACTCTCCTTACTGGGGATGTGCCCGCAACCAAGGTACATGCTCTTGACCGGAATCGAACCTGGGACCCTTCAGTCCGTAGGCTGACGCTCTATCCACTGAGCCAAACTGGTTAGGGCTTTAGCAAATATTTGCTATCATAATGCATTTTTCCTTCCTAATGAAGCTAAACAAATGAATGACATGGCTCAAGGAAATACTTCTTACTCTGAGAAATCTCCAACTTTAGAAAGGTACAAATATATAATACTCTTAAAACAGAAAGCAATATTGCCTATATTAGATTATGATTGCTTTTATATCCAAGATTAAAGAATATTCTCTTCTTTTTTCTTTTTTTTTAATCCTCACCTGAGGATAGTTTCCCATTGATTTGTAGAGAGAGTGGAAGGGAGGGGGAGACACAGAGAGAAACATCGATGTGAGACGGACATATCAATTGGTTGCCTCCCACACACACTCCGGGCCAGGAATCGAGCCTGCAACAGAGGTATGTGCCCTTGCCAGGAATCAAACCCAGGACCTTTCAGTTCATGAGCCGATGTTCTTGCACTGAGCCAAACGTATTTTTTTTAAAGATGTTTTTATTGATTTTATTTTTTTAATCCTTATTATTGAAATTATTATATCTCTCCCCCATTCCCTCCCCCATTTACTTCTTCTAACCCACCCCACCCCGTTTCCATTTATTTTAGAGTGAGAGAGAGAGAGAGGGGAAGGGAGAAGGAGAGAGAGGAAAGTCGATGAGAGAGAACCATAAGCTGCCTCCTGCACACCCCTTACTGGAGATGGAGTTAGCAACCTGGGCATGTGCCCTGACTGGGAATCAAACCAATGACCTCTAGGTGCATAGGATGATACTCAACCAACTGAGCCACACCGGCCAGGCAAGAATATTATTTCTTTACAATGTATTTTATAATACTCTAATTATTAATAAAATTAAATTTATATCTACTATTTAATAAATTACTTTATAATTATATCATTTTGGGACAGAAAGATATCCCAACGTATCCTCTAAAGATAGTAGAATCAATGTTGGAAGAACCTCAAAAAACCAATTAGAATCATATACCCAGTTTCCAAAGAACCAAGGCACAGAGGTTAAGGGACTTACCTAATATTCCATGAAACCTAACATTCCAACAATTAAAGAAGGTTATTAATTATTTATTAATTATTTATATGAGTGATTAAAATACCACAGGTAACCAAATAAGACATTTTGGCCTTGGTAACAAATAATACTTTTCATTAACTGATTACTGAATTCAGTTAATGCCAGTTAACCATTAATGTATGTATGTTAACTTTGATGTGGATAGGGATAAGGAAGAATGTTGTGAAGGAAGCTAAAATTAGAAGTTATACTATTAAATGATCTTCATTTATAGTAAGGAATCTATTTAGCCCTTGCCAGTGGCTCGTTTGGAGCATCGTCCCATAGACCGAAAAGGTTGAGGGTTCTATTCCTGATCAGAGCACATACCTAGTTTGCAGGTTCCATCACTGGTCGGGGTACATAAAGGATGCAACCAATTGATATCCCTTTCTCTCTCTTTCTCTCTCTCTCTCTCTCTCTCTCTCTCTCTCTCTCAAATTAATAAAAACATTCTTTAAAAAAAAAGGATTAAAGAAAGAATCAATTTAAAAGTTTCTTTTGAAAAACTCTATTACCTAACTTGTAATTTACATCTTTAAAACATTTGGCAAATTCGACACCTGCCTAACTATAATATGCTCTAACTGAAAAGTTTCAGTTTATTAAAATGTTGCTAAAAGCCTTAAGTAAATTATTTCTATCTTTCAAATATAGGCATCACCTTATACCTGTCAGAATGGCTGCCATCAACAATTCACCCAGCGGCAAGTGCTGGAAAGGATGTGGAGTATGTATAATCCTATCTATCTTCTATCTTCAATATATATAAAAGGCTAATATGCTAAGTGTCCATCTGACTGGTAGCTATGACACTCACTGACCACCAGGGAGCAGACACTCAATGCAGGAGCTGCCGTGACGTGCACTGGCCATTTACAGATCTAGAACAAAATCTACAAAAATGTATATGGAACCAAAAAAGACCCCAAGTAGTTGCAGTAATCTTGAGAAAGAAAACCAAGATAATAGCAGATATCAAGTTATAATACTAAGCCACTGTAATCAAAACAGCCTAGTACTGGCACAAGAACAGGCATATAGATCAATGAAACAGATCAGAGAACTCAGAAATCAACCCAAGCCATTTTGCTCAACTAATATTTGACAAAGGAAGCAAGAGAGAGCATATAATGGAGTAATGATAGTCTCTTCAATAAATGGTGTTGGGAAAAATGAGCAGGTACATGCATAAAAAAATGAAACTAGACCTCTAACTTATACCATACACAAGAATAAACTCAAAATGGATAAAAGACATAAATCTAAGTCCTGAAACCATAAAAATCATCGACTAGGGCAAAGGAAACTAAGGAGAAAATGGGACTACATCAAAATAAAAAGCTTCTGCACAGCAAAAGAAACGACCATCAAATTGAAAAGGGAGCTCACTGTAGAGGAGGACATATTTGCCAATGATACATCTAATAAGGGGTTAATTTCCAAAATATATAAGGAACTCATACAACCTAACAAAAGGACAAACAATCCAATTTTTAAAAAATGGGCAAAGGACCTAAATAGACACTTCTCCAAAGTCATCATACAGATGGCCAAGACACATATAAAAAAAAATTGCTCAAAGTTACTGATCATCACAGAGTATGCAAATTAAAACAACAATGAGGTATCACCTCATATCTGTCAGAATGGCTACTATCAACAAATCAACAAATGACAAGTGCTGGCAAGGATGTCTGGAGAGGATGCGGAGAAAAGGGAACCCTAGTACACTGCTAGTGGGAATGCAGACAGGTACAGCCACTATGGAAAACAGTATGGAGTTTCCTCAAAAAAAAAAAAAAAAAAGGACCTGCCATTTGAACTAGTGATCCCACTCCTAGGAATATATCCTAAGAATCACACCAGTCAGAAAGAATGTATGCACCCATATGTTCATAGTAGCTCAATTTACAATAGCTATGATCTAAAAACAGCCCAAGTGTCCATTAGTACATGAGTGGGTAAAAAAAGCTGTGGTGCATCTGCATCATGGAATACTATGCAGCAGTAGAAAAGAAGGATCTCTTACCCTTTGAGACAGCATGGAGGGGCCTGGAGAGTATTATGCTAAGCAAATAAGCCAGTCAGAGAAAGACAAGTGTCATATGTGTAATCTAATGAACAAAATAAACTGATGAACAAAATAGATCCAGAGACACAGAAGCAAGGAACAGACCGATGAATCTCAGAGAGAAGGCAGGGTGCGTGGGGAGAGATCAACCAAAGAACTTAGATGCATAACCCATGGAAACAGAAAATAGTGCGGTGAAGGCCTGGGGGAGGGGGGACAGTAGGGTAGAGGGGTGCAATGGGGGAAAAGGGGGATATCTGTAATACTTTCAACAATAAAATAAATTTTAAAAAAATTTAGAAATGATTTTACTTTTGTTTTCTAAGGAACTCTGTCATCAGTTTGCCAGGACTGATTAACTTTTGTCTTATATATTTTTTCTATTAATTTTGCTAATAATTTGTGCAATAATAATGTTCAATTAACTTAATGGTTCATCATGAATTTTAGTTGACCAAAATCCCAATACAACTGCTTAAGTATGCATATGGTAGAATCAGGGCAAGTGTGCTATAATAAACAACTCTTACTAACGTAAGTTATTAACATAAGTGTATGATAAAATAAATCAGGCAAAAAGGGGGAATAACTCAGAAGAACAAGAATTTGCCTAATGCTGGGACAATAATGCAGAGCCCAGGGCAATTAGGGAGAAGGAAAAAATGGAGGAATGAAACCATTTTCAGATATTGAAAGCAAACTTAATACTTACCAGTGTTGGGTGGGAAGGTGAACAGTGTAAAAATGGGCTGACTGGCTGGCTTATTTGTTTGCTCATCAGTAAGCTCTAATTGATTAATTTGTGTCACTGATTATTTCTGGGTCAACTTGGTCCTTTATTCGTCAACGCTGGTTATGAGGGGGTGAGAGTCTCACTATGCTGCATCAAGCTCAAAGTTAACAGAACTTTGAGGGCACAAGGCAGTGAAAAAGAAGGAAAAAATAGGTAACTTAATAGTACAGATTTCCACCCCCACTTCTCATTAGGGAACTCTGTTCCCTAATTGCTGATCACCCAATTCCCATTCTCTACTGCTTCATGCTACATATTGTTCAGTTCCAGGAAAAGAGAAAAAGACTTCAAACCCCCATGCCATGCATATTCCCTCACTTTCCCCCAGAAGAGTCAGGGAGATAAAACAAACAAAAAAATTGAAGGAAGAA